AAAAGTGATTCATCATCAGAACTTCTAATCCCTAAAATTGGATTGTGTTACTAATCTTTTGTGGTTCTGAATACTTTTGAAAATTAAGCTCTATGCATTATTGACAGCCACTAACTATTTAGATTCAAGAATGGCTGTATGTATACTTGAATTCTGGAACCAAACGAGTTAAACAGTACTGATCCCTTAGTTATTCAACGATTTGTATTCAATTGATGTATCCATTTATTTAATGGTGTTCTAAATTTTCGAAAAAACGGTCAATCCCTACACCAATATCAACCTGTGCAAAGTCAGTCGTTAAAAATACTTTTTGAACTGTTTTACATTAATTTTTTGAAGATTCCATTTACACGGAAATCAGTAAATTTATCGATTCTTGATTTTAAAAAACCCTAATACTTCTGCTTCCTGTGGTTGTAGAATAATTATATGAATACCCTTTATATCAGAATAAGTGGTGGAAGATTTTCTACAAGAGTGTGATTATACCGTTAACATGAATTAATGCATTAACTTTTTTATTTCCACTATAAGTCCTATCATGTTTAAATGTTTTCAGTGATGACGGAGTAGGTAATTGATTGTAATAATAATAAATAAAACATTATTTTGCGTTCATCTATTATTCAAAGTACATGTGCTCGGTGAACGTGAATCATATAGAGATATGTATTTATTATCTTTAATCAAATTTATTGTTTCTAGGTTTCATTTTTTGTTTAAATAGTCGTTTTATTCAAATGTAGATTCACATACATATTATGAAGTAAAGATCTTTTAAACTCATTTTATGATACAAATATGATGTATATTTATGTATTTATTTTCCTTGACTTTTGGTGATTTGAAGTGTGACAACTTGAAACAATGTGCATTTTTGGTTTGTTTGAAACTTTCCAGCAGTTCTGATGTCCAATAATCTATTCTTTGACCAGAATTAAAATATCCCAGGCTTGTACTATTTGGTTGCTATTGCTGATATAAATAATATATTTATTATTTAAACACATGAACATTGGTGCAAGGAAGGCACCAAACAGATATGCGCTACATAAACCATTCGATTTTTGTGAGGGCTGGGATATTGCGCGGGTGCCCAAACTGAAGCAGGTGGTTTTTTTTAAGAGGCCACACCCCGAGAGAGTCGACTCTGCCCACTCTCTGCCGTACCAGGGCATTTTGGTGTGATTTAAGTGATATATAATGTTATCGTTATTTCGCACCCACCTCCAAATGCTCTAATTTGTTTTATGTGAATTAATTAGAGTTAAAAACCAAAAAAGTACAATTTTATATTTAACAAGGTAATGTAATGTTTTGTATCCCAATCAGCTATTTTTGATGAGTTCCTTATTTGACATGACTTTTAAAGTCGGCATTAGCATGTAAGATGCTTATAACTGTCATAAGACACTACTTGTCATTCGATAGGTCACAGTAGCTCTTTCAGTAAGCATGAAATAATACAGACCTTCGTATTGTGTAATTTAATAGTTGGATTCATGAATTGATTTAAGCTAGACCACCATTGAAGACCTGAAAGCGCTGGACGGCCTTTTCGTCCTAGAATTGGACTCCTCAGCCACGATGCCGCACGCGGGACTCGAAACCAAGAGACTTGGTCTTGTGCGCTAATGTCTAACCTCTGGACTACTGACCTGGCATCCAACGGTGTTAATGTCTAACTCCAATCTCCACAACCTCCCATTCTGATAATTCTTATTGAATACTGGTTTTGACGTCTGCATCGGGTCTCATGTCAGCTTATCTAACACCTGTTTTCTATGAGCTGATCAGTTTCTTTTTTTTGTAGACTTATTAGGTATGTTAAGTCCTCTTTCTGACAAACTACATTTTGGTATATTGAATGCATATATGTTTGAACCACGGTTTCATAGATATCGGCGGACTTTTTATCACTGCTAATTAGTTTTGTTTTAGTAATGTGATTTTACTTCCATATACTTTACAAACAGCTTTCGCTCCGAGGAATTGTTTTAATTTTAACAATGAACTGCAGGAAATAGGAAGAAGTAACCTTGTGAAGAGAGCTATCGTTCGGTAACTTTTACTTTGGTCTCTAATAAGTGACTTTTACTTATTCCACCTACTTATGAGTAGTGTAATGTCAAGTGTGAATTTTTCCAGTTTGCTTTCAATATAGGAACCATCTTTAACCTCGATGATTTTTTGTTACATTGATCGATATTAACATTGATACTCGATAATTTATAACTCTCGGATTACAATTCCCCATTTATTTAAGTTGTCTCCACTCGTTTTATAGATTCAATTATGTAGGCACTTAATCAATTTAATAGTTCTTTATTTTGGTATATGTACTTAGATAGTTTAAGCAAAACAGTCCTTTTTTGCTTTGTGATAACTTATTTGTAAGTCGCATACTTCAACCTGTATTTTCTTATGTCTGAAAACGTTTTTTCGAACGTCATTAGATAAACTAATCTTGTGTATTATGAAGCGATTCATAATTGTCATTAACTATTAGGCATTTATTTTTTGGACTTCGTAAATCCAAGGTGGTTTCATTTTTATCACTCATTTTTTTGTGCCAAAAATTTCGAAGGTTTTCCTGTCTTAGAAATTGCTTAGGTACAGAAATTCACACTGATGTACTCAATCATATATTTATAAATGTCGCGAAACCAGTTTACATTAATGGCGATCAAAGTGTGAAATATTCAAATCTTCTTAGGTATATTTGGTGTTTTACACAGATTAATCGGACTAAAATAATCAGATGGACGTAAAACGATTGCTTAAAATTGCATGACGCTATCTAAATGCCAATTTTGTTTAGCTTCACTGATTTTAGTTATCAAGCTGAAAGTGACTGTAGAGATTAAAATTATTTTTGGCAGTGCTACGTGATCATAAGATTCAGTTAAATATCTCAATATCCTGCAGTTGACAATGCATCATAAATAGAGGTCCAAATGGACCGATTCCCGAAAACACCTTTCCATGCAGTAAAGGTCGGTCAACCACGCTTTCAATGACTAACGGTCAACGGAATGACAATAGGAGATCTGTGATTAAGTCTTCTAGTTCATAAAACTTGACAACAGAATGTATTAGTGTTAAAAATGGATCTCTCCCACCCTGCTATATTTTAGAAACCGAATCCACTGTCGTGTCATATATTTTCTCTATACACCTAGTTCATCGCTACTTTATTTGATTTGATGTGCGAAATTGCGAATGTATTCGATTTAGTCGGATTTCAAGCTGTTGTAAATAGTCATTAAAGACCTTTATTTTTGGATATTATAATTTTCATTTTTACTTCTATTTATATACACCTCTATAAGCTGTTATTAATTTTTTTTTCAAATTCTAGAACAGAGAATATGTAGCACATGCAGGAGCTAGATTCCCTATAAAGTGGACATCGCCTGAAGCAGCTAATTATTCACGTTTTACCATCAAGTCTGACGTGTGGTCTTTCGGCATTCTGTTGACTGAAATAGTCACATATGGTCGTTCTCCTTATCCAGGAATGCATAATGCTGAAGTCCTCAGACAAGTGGACGCTGGATACCGCATGTCGAAACCACCCGGTTGCCCACCAGAATTATACGACCTTATGCTAGAATGTTGGGCAGCTGATGAAAATAAACGACCATCTTTTGCAACAATTCACTTCCGTTTGGAACAGTTCTGCGAAGATGAACAACCAGCCTACCGAAATGCAAATACTAATATCCATAGTCATCCTAATGGAAATTCAATGGTAGCTTTGCAAAATAAACAAAATCCCTCCTCTGGAGCCTACCACAACCACATCGAGATTTCTGTATCACCATAACTTTTAGATTCTTGGTATAGTGACAACTCAGTCTCCTGATTTGAATGATTATGACCGCAGTGATTCGGCACCTACAACTACGTTTCTACCAAATCATGTAAATTTAATTCCATCTACTTGTAAATATGAATGCCAAATATTGATGTTCAAGTATTGCGGCTATATGTATGACAGACTAGTCATGAAAATCGACACCAACTTAATAGCTTCTAGAACCGATATGTGCTTCTATTTGTTAATAGCTCGTTTCAATTATTATAAAAATTATTTTGTACCACGTTATGTTTAACCTTCCCTGATTAAACCAACTGTTGACTTGTTTGGCCATTCGCTTGTTCTCTATGCTAAAGCCTAGGTTTTTTTACTCAGTCTTTTCTATAAATAAATCAATATCCCGATCCTTCAAGTTTTTATTAATATTGCGACCCTAAGTATATACTACAAAATACTATTTGTAATGGTAAATTTCAGGAAAAGGGGCTATCTTTGAGTTATCAGATGTTCTCCAATGACAAATAAAATAACATTCATGACTCCGCAACGGGGGGTTGAACCGAGACCCTCCGGTCTTGCGCATAACCTCAGAAGAACGTGATTCTAAACTTTATGATGTACAGTCGTCAGAGTTGTTACTAACTGGTTGGTACTTAATAAACAGGAAATAACATGTGCTGAAACCCAATAAACATATCTAGGTACTTTTAGGATATGTTATCTGTACCTCAAACTAGTTTTTAGCTTAGTTATGTATTAATAGACGACAAGATTCCCATCTTGATTTTCTGAATGTGCAATTCTGGGTCGCCCAAGTGTTAAGGAAGTGGCTGAACACTCATCCCGTCAACTCGGGCAGTTGATAAACGTATCATGTATGATTACTTTGCACATTTACCTGCTTCTACGACTCCGAGGTGTACAGTATGTTTCTAGTGAGAGATGTGATACCGAATTAACAGGAAATATCTAGCAAATTGATAGTCACAAGGTGACCTGAGAGTTGTGCTATCTCGCTGGTTGATAAAACATTGCTAACTTAGAGGACTTCTGTCTAAACTGATAGAACTAGTACTTTCGTATACATTTACCTCTAGTAATAAAACTTGCGGTATCAGGCATTCGTGATGGGTTTCCAAGTTGTTTATGACTGCATTTGTCAGACGATTTGGTAGTAAGTTGACGTCTACATTCACGCATCTGAGTTGAAATTAAATATAAACTATCAGTTTCGGAGTACAAAAAATAGGTCGAATGTTGATCAGAGGTGCATTGTTTCTACAGTTTTTTCTGACCCATTAAACAAGTGGGGTAAGTTATACATGTACAAAGCATTACCATTTATTCAATTTACACGATAAGTCCAAGGCCACCCACATCTTTATTGTATCACCAACATGACCGGAAATCGAATACGACATTATGTACAGAGAACTGAAAATAAATACATTAAGTATAATGAAATCAGTCAAAATCCCGAATATTATGTATTGCATTAGCCTTTTTCTGTCTTGGGTCGATTGAGTTTACTTGATATATTTGTCGACTTGACACGTTTATCACGTTTTTTCAAACCATCAATATTAGCTTTCAGAAGATTGGAATAAGCTTGATTGAATCTATTCATGTCCTTCTGGTGAACCTATTTCAAATAAATACAGAAACTTATTTAAGCATTCAAATTTCGAAAAGTGAGAATAGTTTTACACTACATAAATGTATTTGTTCCGTCCATGTACTTGTGAATTATATTGCTAAGGGTTCTAAATTTGTATTTTCTTATTCTTCGGTTATGATTAATTATATTTCTAAACCTATTTTCGTTACTGTATAATGGCGATCGTTGTTTTTATCATTAGAGAGGAGCCACTTAATTTATTCAACACCTATGGAGGTATAAATGTATTCCTGATTTCTTCCAAACGATTGACGCTTATCATACTCCATAGATTATGGTGAACCGAGGACTGATCTGTGAGGAGTGAACATATATTTTATTCAGGTCATGGACATGTTGATTATATATTTATCTCCCCCAAGAAGTTTATTAACATTTTAAAGGTTCTTCATAAACGCATCAGGCAGGTTAGAACATATAGCCATTTTCCTCAATTGTTTCGTTCCAGTAGCAGATATGATGGGGTTGTCTAGTCTCACCACTCGCCTTTAACTTTGTTGTCGGTGACACTGGAAACAGCCCTAAAGGAAGTACGTGACGGTGGTGTAGATGTTATTAGAAGAGGTTCTTTGACTTCAAGTATGCAGATGGCAACGTTTCAATGGGCGGTGCGAAAATTATTCAAATCGTACTTGATTAGTTAGGAATTAGAGTCTTTAATTACGGCATTTCATTTACACCTTCGAAACACTTAACATTGCTGCAAAAAATGCAGGAGCCTGTGTATGCATCCACCTTTTTATGGTTAAGAGTTAGGAATAATTGGATAGGTATGAAATTCCGAGAGGAGTTGTATGGCAAACTAATCTACACATATAGTGGAAGCTAGCGTCTTTGGCCACTCTGGAATCGTCATGATGTTCTTCGGAATGCATAAGGTAGATTTTGTACCAACTACAGTAATTCTTGTGGAACCTGACTACTTTAAGCTAAGAATGTTTGGAGACCTGGTGAGTATGATCAGCACTGTCTCCAAAGCATTGCTCGTATCCAGTGACAACACTGTGTAAGTGATATCGAGTCCAGACAATTTCCTCAGGAGCAGTGATGACAATTCAATTGGTCTAATTCAGTAACCCTGTCATGTTTATACAAATGTCATCACGACAGTTTTCAAAGCGTGCCCTATTTCCCGATGGTATAATAAATAGTAAAATAGGATTAACATTTGCAAGCCCATCATGTCGTTCTGGCACTCCCTAATCCCTAGTGATCTGGGAGTGAATGGATGATATAGATATAATCTAGTTAGATATTAGAATAAACGAACTAAGAACATGGAATCTTCAATACTAGTTTAGTAGTATAGATACATTCAGTCCCTTACACATTACGAGCTGACAAATACTAGTGAGTTTGGTTGAAATCGGTAAAAATGTCCAACAATTAGCACTACCAGTTTCCTAACACTGAAGGAGTATAGATTACGGAGGACAAATAGAGAAAAAAAGCAGCAAAATTCAGGGATCCTAGAAAATTAAATGACCAGTACTCTTGCAGCGAGACCTAAGTACGTATATAAATGGATTATTCAATAAGACACTTGAATACGAGAATCGTTATAACATTAAACTTTGGAAAGACAGAATTTAGAATCTGAATACCATATCATCACTCACGAGCTATTTCACCAACCAGTCATCTAAAGCAGGACGACTATTTCTACAATGATAATCCTGGGACTATAGAGAGGCCATATTAATAAGACGATCAATTAAAACACGAGTTCCATCCTAAAAACGATGGATGACTTTTACAGGTCAAAGCGCCTTACTTTTATATGATACCCTCAAGTCTGTATCAAGCATTGAGAGTCAGTGAGTTCTACGAGACAAATAATGGCAGTGCATCAAACATCAGGAGAACCATGTTGGCAATTTTACTACTGTGAGGTATACTACATAATATTATACGGGAGTGCATCAAACATACTCCGAAATGAGGGACTACTTAAAAGTACGGGTAAACAAAGCAATAGTCATGCACTCTAAAGAGATAGTTGTTTGGACCGAAAATTGAGTGATACAGTGAATTTACACACCAGCTATAAGCAATCTAGGTTTTTTACATGTAATACTGTCGCCACCAGGTGGGACTAGACCAACTCGCAAAAGTGCTGTTGAAAAATTTCAATACAATCAGTTAACTAACGAAGAAGTGAATAAAAGATCTATACATAATTTTCAACGTCCAGTATACAGTTAATAAAAACTCACTACAGTACTAATTTTTTGGTTTCCAAGTGTAGCTCGAAGAAGACAGCTATTTTCATTAGTTACGTGAACATCCTTTACTTTTTGAACCCGCTTGGGAATAGGCTTAACTCGTCCATCATCTAAACGTAGGAAAACATAGAGTACAAGAAGGACACCTACATCTTTTCATTGTAATATACAGTGATCCGCTAGACTTTGATTGATTGAAAAGCTTGTGGAGGGATGTGAGGAACTGAAACTTCATAAGAAAGTTAAAATAGCATTACTGACTGTGTCATTATCCAGTAACATTTCGATGGATGTAACGCAAACATTTGAAAATCCTCCACAGACGACACGTCTGAAAGTTCTTTCAATGTACATCGTCATCAGGTGTAGGAGACAATAACAGTAGTACTGAATGTCTATATTCTGACTTCATTGATGCAAACGTCTGAAAATGGTTTGGAGCGTTGCTTTGTATCTGAAGAATGGTTCAAATGGTTGTGGACGGAATAGAAGAAGCTTTCGCTTAACAGGCTTCCGTGTCTAGTAGCAGGGGATCACCAATACCTCCAGGCAAGAACCTAGGTATATTAACGATAAAAGAGAAAAAAATAAATTAGTAACTCATAGTAAGATACTATCCTTAGTCCTTAAGAATAGATCAAGTCGCCTCTTAATGGACTTGTAGTGACCTACTTTTGTCAACAGAACGCGATTGGTTCAATGAAAACCATTATTAATATAACCAATTGTACCAGTGACTGTTTTACTGTGCTCGTTTGTTTAACTATGCTAATGACAGCCATTACACTTATTCTTCCGTTGACTTTGAACTTGTACGAATTCGGTTACGCTTAGTAACCATGCTTGTACTCCTTTGACACGATCTCGGTATTCTTTCGATACCACGAGATCGCCAGCAAATACATCTCGACTACAGCCATCATCTGCCTTCTGATATTGGCCTACGGGGATCTCATTGGTTAATTGTCACGTAGTCTTCTTATAGTGGTGTTCATAGTCAATCGCGACTCGACTCCACGTTACAGAGTCCTAGGAAGTTGCTTGGACTAGCTCAGCCGGCAGCGAATTCCAGCATTTGACAACTCTTATGGAGTAGAAGTTGTGCCTGCATTCCGTTCTGCTATGTTGTGTCTCCAATTTCTGGGTGTTACTCCTAGGGTTAGTATTCGGACTAAGCTTAAGTAGGTGTTTAAGAGGATGTCCAGCTGTGTTAAGGATACTGTAAGCCATTAGAAGGTCACCTCTAAGACCCCTATACTCCAATGGGTAAAGGTCAAGTGATTAGAGACGCTCTTCATAAGGTTTAAATTTGAGTCCCTGAACTGATTTCGTGGCTCACCGTTGGATACGATCCAATGTCCTTATCCTTTTGGAGTATAGGAGGGAATACTATGTTCCCGTACTCTAAATGGGGATTAATGAAACTATTAAAGATTATGTGGGAAGTTCTCCCGTCAAACTGACCAGAAATGCGCTTCAATGTTACCAGTGCAAGGTTTGCTCGAAAAGCATTTCTGTCAGTTAGCGTAAGACTTTGAGTCGTAGGACACCAGGACTCCTAAATCTTTTTGGACTCGGGATACTACTAGAGAGGAGTTTCCTAAGTTGTAACTGTAGTCTGCGACGTATCGCAGATGGACTACTTTACACTTTGAAGTGTTAAAGATAAGTCCGTTATCGTCTGTCCATCTTCGAAGTCGAGTCAGATCCTCCTGAAGTGCCTGTATATCCTCTTGGTTGCGTATCTCTCTTCAGTTTCACGTCATCGGCGAAAAGTAATGTCTGAGGATACCTATTGAGGAAGATCATTTATATAAATCAAGAAGAGAAGAGGTCCTAGTACTGATCCCTGGAGGACCCCACTAAGACATTCCATAGCCTGTGATAAACTGAAGTTTACCCTGACCTTAAACTGTCGATTTGTCGGATATGAACTGAGCCAGTCAATTAAAGGTAATTTGATACCCAATTGTCTGAGCTTGTTGATAAGACATATGTGATTAGCCTTATCAAAAGCCTTAGAGGGATCAAGGTAAATGATATCCACCTTTCCCTTGCGATCAAGGATGCTTGTCCATCTGTCCACCGCAGTCAGCAGGTTCGTCATACAGGAGTAACCCTTCCTGAAACCATTGTGTTGAGGCGAGAAGAAATTTAAGGACAGCAGATAGTCGTGTATACCATCGTAAATCAGGGACTCCATGATCTTTGAAGGCATAGAGAGCAGAGCCACCGGTCGGTAACTTGAAGGTTCTCTGTGTCGACCTCCTTTGAAAATTGGTGTGATATGAGCCAGCTTGCAATTTTCCGGCAGTTTGTCTCGACTTAGTGTGTGTGAGAACATCACGCTAAGTGGTGTTGCCAGGATTGAAGCTGCTTTCCTCAGTATAGCAAAGTGGACTATATCTGGACCAGGAGAAGTGTCTGTTCTTGGGTGCTGCAGTTTTCGGAGCACCAAGTCAGCGCTCAGCTTCACTATGGAAAGTCCTGTGCAGTTGCAGATAGAGCCGTCATCAGTATAGTTGATGTGGGACGGTTGAATCTATTCCTATATCTGAATACCTCAAGATTATCGAGGGTATATAAGATGTATGATACATTTCCAATTGTCGCTAACCATTAGAAGCATTTGGTGATAAAAAGTAAGGAGACCATCTCTGGCTAACTATAGTGCTCAGTAAATCTTATTGATCATCGATCATGATAACTGATGTTACGAATGGTTTTGAATGCAATATCTACTCCACATCCTTGAAAAAGTACAAAAATGTATCTATCCTGATGATATGAGACCTAAATGATTTTTACGGTATAGATCAACCAATTTTAGCTATTGCACTGTTTAAAGCATCTCCTTTAGCATCGTTTATACCAACAAATATTAAAACAGAAATTTGGTCGACATACATGTTTATAAATTTTTTGTAAATATTTGTCATTAGACTGCAGTCAAATTCCTTTTATCGGTTTGTTTTATCACTTATTTTGTTTTGAATGAGTAGTTCACGGTCAGTAATCTTTTCAATATTATAAACTACCTATCACTACATAATACGTTGCTTTATTGCTAGATCTACCTCATTAGTTGTTCACCTAAAAGATATGTGACTAAGTGAGTCCAGCAGGATATCCTTTGGAATTATTAATCAATGTAATAACCACTATCCAATATCTGAATTTTGAATGTTGTTATGTATTGATCAAGGTATCATGTAAGTCATGTTTTCTGCCTTTCACATAAATGTGGAAATGGCATGGAGCTTCACCGTCTGAATTAATAAATTTTCCTGAGATTTGTAACAAAAGGATAGGAGTTTACTTCATATTGTTCAGCCAGAGAGCAGTCTTTAGGAGGGATTTTAGGGTCTTGAAACCCATATTATTTTACTCAGAAGTGAATAAATGTCCCGGTCCCCTGCCGTACGATATTGAAGTTCGTCAACAATATCGAGATAAGTAAGCTCAGGATCGGAGGTAGAAAGTATGAATATCGGCGGACCAGTGGAGATAACAATCCTTTTGGCTTCAGTTCAAAGTTAAACTCCCCTATCCGTGCATGTCAGTAGTTAAGACTAGGGTCATTCGGCTATAGATAAAATAGAATAAGTGAAGGTAGATAAGGTTATTTTCTTGGTATTGTGGGGCGGGTTACACTGGCCGCACAAAACAATTACTTTCCATACGCACTTTAGAACATTGATTTCTAAGGCTTTGAAAAGGAGCATGCTGAACGTTCAACTGTTCAATGACGGAGTAGCTGATCAACTTTGAACACTTCAAAACGATTTACGCAGTCAAAAGAACCGGATCAAACCACAAATTCAAGCCCGAACTCTGAGTGTAAAAACAAAATTTTCAACCACGGATTTTCTATTAAATGTACTTCTTCCCTGCAGCATGTTTTGGTTTTGTCTTGTTTTTATTTTAATTGTGTAATTTTAAACTGTAGTCAGTTATTATCCCTTAACGATTTTTCGTGGTCATTGTTTAGTTGCGTCGAGTCCTCAGTTGACTGTTATATGATCGTTAAATGGTTGTCCCGTAAAAGCCATTGGTCTTAAAAGCCGTAGGCAAAATAACTGATAGCAGATTAGTTGACTGAATTATCGGTGTAATAAAGTGCCAGCTCATGTTAGTCGAAACAAGAGAACAAAGATTTTTACAGTCGCTACAACTTGTTCAGTGCTTGGAAGTAGTTTCAGTCAATTCAGTGAAGAAGATTCATCGAAATGATTTCCTTTTAACGGAATGCAAGCTTTTATTCATATAACCATGCTACTTTCTTATAATGTCCTTACTTAATTTTTTATCGCTCTAGTTTCTACAGGAAGCTTGAAAGTGAAGACCTATTCATTGCGCTGTCACCGTTTAAATACGGTATTACCCAACTAATTCAGATTTCTATATATGCGACAAAACTATCAATATCAATCACCAAATACTATGCCTTTGGAGAACTTTGTAGACTTTCGAAAATAACTGAAATACTAATAGGACAATCTTTTATTGATTCCACAACCGTCCGGAAGAAAAAAGCACGGTTGTCAAATGTAATGTTCCTGATGATTAAGAAGAGCTAGGTTCATCGTGAATGTTCACTACGACTTTGCACAAACATATGATACTGCTAGAGGTATCATCTAGTAATCAGAAGTAGTCGGCTTCGTTATGACAACTAATAATACCCAGAAATATCAAAATTGTATTTTAACCGTCACCTATAAAACAGTTTTCAAAGCAAAGAAAACATTGTGAGCACAATCGAAGTTACTAAATCTAGAATTTGAGTCAGATGCAGAATAATATACAGAGAAAGCATTAGTTGACACCAGCACCACAACCACCGATTTTCTGTAATCGTTCGTACGATTTCTCCGTATGCATATAGTGTGGCTGTCCGATTCTGTAATGGGAATGGACTGTGTATTATTTGGTTCCTGGAATTGTATTTGATCATCGTGTCGGTTTTACTTATCTAAACCATTACCATCTGGAGTTTACACCGTAGATCATCATTTAGGATGAACACAACAGATCAGTGGACAATATATACCGTTCATGAAGCATACATTCTGACAGAATAAAGTTTTATTGAACATGCATGGGCATTTAGTCAAACCCTGATCGGAAAAGATTATTTGGGTTTCAGTTCTCCAGAAACCTAACTTTTCTTAGCTTAACAATCGAGCTCAAGAACAACGCAGAAACATATCGAATGAAGTTTATACTACATTTGAACACACCGGAAACTATACAACAGTCCTATCAGTGGTGTGAATTACAAACTTGTGAAAAGCTGCATGAGGAGAAAGTAAACGTTTAGGTTAGGAAGTGGG